TTGCGAGCAAATACTGAGACTTGGAGGAACTGATTCACAACGTCACTTTTGTCGCAGGCGATACCAGCCAACAAGTACCGGGCGATGTAGCAGGTACACGTGATCATTTCCTCTTGTGCTCGGGCTGTCGACTTTCAGCAACAGAGCATGAGATCCTTGAGACACGACCCACGACGCACCAGATCTCGTTTACAATTCGTCTGTCAAGACAATTCAGCTTGGGCTGATCGACTATCAGCCTCCGGCACTGCTTACGGAACGGCCCGATCCTTGCTGCCATATGGCAGGCAATCGACCCAGGTGCCTAAACATGCACACTGGCTTCGGTAATTTCGGACTAAGTTCGCTGCCGAACCCTGGCCAACATCGTTGCGCATCATATCTCTTGGCATTGCAAGTGGCCTTCGCTTGATGCAAGATTGCTACGATGAAGCCTTGCTACTATGGGGTTGAGGCGGCGTTTGCCAAGCTGCGCGGTCGTCAAATGCGGACTTTCGGGGTTGCAACGGCCGAACACGCAGATCGTCGAGAACCACAAAAACGAGGTCGCGTTGCACCAAACTACGAATGAGCTGCACCAAGCCGAGCAAGTTGTATGCATGCTGGATGGATCCTGTCTCAGCATGTGCTTGGCCTACCGATAGGAGGTCCGCGGATACCTATCGCATCCCGGTGCCAGCGGTTTAATGCCATGTAGATAGAGAGATGCACTGGTTATAAAGACGAACCGGACTGTCCAGACATCCGACCAACGGCTTCAGTACAAACCCTCAATTCAGATGTTTACCAAGTTCCTGGATCACTCATGACTACATCTCAACATGGCGACCGAGAAGAAGATGCGAATTCTGATTGTAGGCGGTAGTGTCTCCGGGCTATCCTTGGCCATCATGCTGGAGAAGTTCGGCATCGACTACCTGATCCTAGAAGCCTACCCTACAATTGCGCCTCAACTTGGTGCGAGCATCGGCCTCCTTCCCAACGGTCTGAAGATCCTCGATCAATTGGGATGCTACGAACGCCTGCGTCAAATCGGGGGTGACATCTACTACAAGTGCTCCATCAGATCCTCAGATGGGCGGGTTCTGTCAGAAACGAAGGACGCAAGTCTTTCCGAGAGCATTGAAAGCATGTGCGTCGCCAAGTTCGTCCGATGTATCTACTATGATTGACTTCAATTAGGACGGGCTACCCCTGCGTTTTCATCGACAGGCAAATGCTTCTCCAGGTTCTGTACGAAAAGATCCGTCACAAGGATCGCGTCTTGACGGGGAAGCGAGTCTCCCGGGTGGAGATGACCGACTCAGGTGTCACTGTCAAGACACAAGACGGAAGTTCATACGCCGGAGACATTCTCATTGGGGCTGACGGGGTCCGAAGTACTATCAGACAGGAAATGTGGCGCCTTGCTTCTGAGGAGAAGCAGAACGTGTTTCCACCAGACGAGGCCCAAAGTAAGTCACTGCACTGGTGAAAGAAGTGAGAAATAAGTTTCTAACAAATGTCGAAGGTCTCAAGTCAAACACGAAGTGCATCTTTGGCATTTCGAATCTTCCCAAGGGCTGGCGTGGGATGCAGCATTCCGCCTTCAATGATGGGCGGAGCTATCTATTAGTCCCAGCACCGAAAGACCGGGTTTACTGGTTTTTCTTCCACGTGATGGATGGCACCTACTACGGGAAAGACATTCCGAGGTTCTCAAAAGAAGACGAAAAGGCGCTCGCATCGAAATATTTTGACGACAATATTTCGGACTCAATCACGTTTCGCGAAATATACGAAGGGCGGCAAGTGGCTACTCTTGTTGCACTGGAGGAGCACGTCTTCTCTCGCTGGAACTACCGAAGGATTCTGCTCATCGGCGACTCAGCGCACAAGGTACGCATATCGTGCTGTGTACTCGTTGGTCTACATGAATCGCTAACATTGGGTCCATATAGCTTCACCCGATCACAGCCCAAGGCGGCAACGGCGCCATTGAGACAGCAGCAGCTCTTGTCAACACGCTGGTTTCAACACTGAAATCAAATCCTCAGTCCTTGTCTGACAACGAAATTGAATCTATGCTTGCGCAAGTTCAGACTAAACGCCAAGATAACATCACCGAGGTTATGCAAGAAGGGCGATGGGTCAATAGCATTATCTGCCAGCAGCTGCCCCTCTCCAAGTTCCTGATTGGGATTATTGTGCCTTGGCTTGGTGATGGTCTTTTCCTCAAAAGCTGGTACAAGAGCTACTTGAGAGGTACTCAGGTAGAGAGCCTGGGCTTGCCTCACAGGCTGATATCCAAGTCATCTCACGCAGCTGCAGACTCGCAAAGCCAACTCCGCAGCTGGGCGATCTGGACGACTGGAGTGGCCTGTTCTGGGGTTGCTGCTTTCATGCTCATGCGACTCCGTAAGGTGTAGATGCATGAGACAAATGGTATTTAGACTGTATTCTAATTCACTCCTCAGGTTTCATAGTCTCCACAAGAGATCATCTGTTTCTTGTTCTCTTCGATAGGTCCTCTTTTTTCAGCTGGACTTACATCTTATGGCAGCATGCCGCCATCAACTAGCATCGCTTGACCAGTGACGTATGATGCAGCATCGCTGAGCAGGAAAGTGATCATTGCCTCGACCTCTTCTGGCTGCCCGATTCGCCCAAGCAAAGGTGGCGGAAGGACAGCTCCAGTGGCCGCAAACTCCATAGATGCTGCCAGAATAGGGGTCTCAATCGGACCACTAGAGGAAGTTAGCAAGAGCTCATCCAATATGATCCCTCCGCAATTTTAATATCAGGGTAAACCTACGGGCAGACGGCGTTGACTCTGACACCCTTCCTTCCAAACTCTCTCGCGGCGCTCTTGCTGAGTCCAACGACTGCATGCTTACTTGCTGTGTAGGCCCCGTGGAACTCTAATCCATACAAGGAAGAAACAGAGGCAACATTGACGATAGACGCTCCCTTCCCGTTGTCTTTCAAAGCCGGGATCTGGGCTCTCATGGCATTCAGAATTCCCTTGCAGTTCACTCCCATCACAAAGTCCCAATCATCGTCCTCGATCTCCGCAATCGTCGCCCTGTTTCCCTGCCGGCCCAGTACGCCAGCACAGTTAGCGGCTCCGTCAAGCGGGCCGAGCTTCTCCACAGTCTCGGCGATCCACGCCTCAACCGCCTTTCGATCTCTCACATCGGTGACCTTGGAAAAGACGTTCTCTGCGCCATAAAGCCCGGTGAGTACGGCTGCCTCGGACGTAAGCAGAGCCTCGTTGACATCGGTTATCGATATCCGCGCGCCAAGGGAGGCCAGTTTCTTCGCCGTCGCGAGGCCGATGCCCGACGCTGCGCCTGTGATGGCGATGACCTTGCCCTTGAAGTCGCTCATAGCTGTTGCTGATAGTTGGGGTGTCAATTGTTGTGAGAGGAAAAAAAGCCTCAGGAGGGGGGAAAGCTTATCCTCCAATTTTCAGCCGATGTGATGGTCCTCCACCTCATGCATGATGAGTAACACAAAATGGACCTAATATGGTTATCCGATGCTCTAGTGCGTCTTCTTTCGGTGATATGTATCCATCGCGGGCTGGACCGACAGGGGACGGTGACACCGCCGGTCGGAGTGGGGCCACCCAGGTGCGTATCGCCGGTGCGTTCGCATCGAATCAGGCTGCTCGCCGGAATTGACAGACTGAAGGTAATCGGCGTGGTAGGATCCGCTGAGATTGGGGCACATATCTTGAACGTTTATCGAGGGCACTACTCAATGTGTCGGCATGGCTTTGGATCCCTTTTTTCCGGGTCTGCACAAAGATCCGGAGGTGAGACATGAATCAGAGAGAAAAGCCCCCTTGCATGCAATACGCATATGGACAAGATTCGCAGGGATGGCAGTTATTTCTTCGCATCTCAAGAAAGTTGAAAAAAACCTCATTCATAAAGTATAGCCGTCGAGTTCAATGAATGATGAATGAAGTGTCTAGTCGAGACTCTGAACCCATTATATGAATCGGCGTCAACGGTTGAAGTCAAGGCGGCATGCAGATAGCCTAGAATGGCGATGTAAACGCCCACCTTAGATTATGCCCCTAGATCAAAATTTACATCAATCGTCGCCCAGTCAGTTGAAAACAGTCACTCTCAGCTTGGCGACCTGCTGTGCAACAATTGAGACCAATCACAGCTAGGTATGTAGCCATAGGCAGGAAGGTGGCTAGGTACTGAACTTGGCAGGAATGCTTACTTATAGATCAGGCTACCGATAACCTTCAATTTTCTCCACTACGACGGTAGAAGCCACGTCAGCACTAATAGAAAAGAAAAGGCCAGCAGAAAGTCCTGAAGTGCATGAGGTTTCTTGCTGTATCGTCAATGCCTACGCAGACCAACACGAACAACAAAAGAACTGTGTTCAGCAACGCTGGGATACAAGACATGTGGCTTATCAATACTCACAGCTATGCGTTGGAAGATATCACAGACCCCTCATTAGTCAAATACGCCATCCTTTCACATACGTGGGAAGATGAGGAAGTTACCTTTCACGACATCCGCCACCTTACCCAACTCAAAACGCCCAGGTTCTCAAAAGTTTGGAAGACCTGCGAAATCGCGCGCGAACGAGGACTTCAGTATGCCTGGATCGACACTTGCTGCATCGACAAATCTAGCAGCGCGGAGCTCAGCGAAGCCATCAACTCGATGTTCACGTGGTACCACCAATCTGCTGTCTGTTTCGTGTTTCTATCCGATCTACCAGCATTGGAGGACATGGGGCCAGCATTAAGATCAAAGTCCGGGTTCCCTTATCCTTCCGAGATGTTTCGCAGATGTCGGTGGTTCACTCGTGGGTGGACGTTGCAAGAATTGATTGCTCCGGACCACGTCGAGTTTCTGGATTCCAAATGGGTGCCGTTTTGCCGGAAGGCCAACTGTCTCGACATCTTATCAGAGGTTACTGGCATATCACACTCTGTACTAAAGTCTCCATCAAATTTAAGGCAAACTCCTGTTGCTGTTAAAATGTCCTGGGCCGCATCGAGGGAGACAAAACGGATCGAAGACCGCGCATACTCCCTTTTGGGCATATTCGACATCAACATGCCCCTGATTTACGGCGAAGGACATAAGGCTTTCCGCCGACTACAAGAAGAAATCGCGAGGGAAACTAACGATCTATCTCTGTTCGCATGGATTGGCCCGTCTGAAGAGGATCAAGGCTTCCAAGTATCCAGGGGTGTTTTCGCAAGATCACCCAGCGAATTCGGTGATTGCTCGAAGATGCATCGATATCATACCAGAACTGAATATCAGCCTGAATTCACTCTTACGAACAAGGGTGTTCGAATCGATTCCAAACTGTACAAGCATAAAACCGCGCAGTGTGTGTACATCATGTACCTAGGGTTTACATTAACTGGCACAACGCCTGTTTGTATTTCCCTCGCCCGCACAGCTGATGGATACGTTCGAAGCAATCCCTGGTCCCTCGATCAATGGCAGCCGGCCAATGGTACGAACAGGCTGCGGGACCCATCGACGATATACGTCCAGAAGGATGTGAGCCCACAGGAGGATTTGAAGTTCCGAAGCCGACTGCATAGATGCTTTCAAGTTACCATGGGGCTGTGGTCATCCATGAAGCTTGAACGAGTGCGTTGCAGCCCTGAGCATTTGTGGGACGAGAGATTTGCGACTTTCATCAGTAGCAACCCTGAAAAGTCATTCATTGCCTCAATGAAGCTTTCTGTTCACGGTGACGACTCAAGTTTTGGCGAAGACTTCCCTTTGATCCTCATATTTGGATGGAGCAAGACTCAACAAAGGCCGTTTGCTGTACTTTATGGGGATGGTGAGGGGGTGAAAAATCCCAAGACATCCGTGAAGAACCTGCTGCCAGATGACTTCCCAGACATTTTACAGAACGAAGTCGACTGGGAGCGCTCGCATGATGAAAATGCAATCGAGAATGCTATCTCAGTAGTCCATTCAGCGCCAAGATTCCGAGCAAGGGAAGTGCAGTTCATCAGGGCCGTATCACCTTGGGGAGTACGAAAGACCTATGCTTTTGTAGCGACATTCAACCTCAGCTTGGATACGCACAAAGACCCGGACAACATGGTGATGTATCATATTTCGATACGTGGAAGATCTTCGAAGCTGAAAGACGGCAATGCCATAGCAAAGGCGTACTCATTTGTCCCCGGAACAGATGTAAATGTAGAAGAGGGGACATAGTAGCTCTAGACAAGCTTTCAATTCGATAACTCGGGGTATTTTCAAAGGTCTTCCAGTGACCTTTGTACTAGGTAAACGGTTCAGGTGTCATCTCTCTTAGAATGTTTCTGAACATACGTAGTACTTGTATAGTTGATCTCGTTCTGGCAATGACCGTGTAATTCACGAAAACATACCTTAGTTATGAACTTAGCTACATGTAAGGTGTTCGAAATAGATTTGGCCTCGTCGTGATTGTTGGCTTGGGCTTTCGTGTCCAGGTAGCACTGTTACTCACTCCTCTCGTTATTCTTTGACAGGCTATACTTCATGGGGCTAAGGAGCACACGCTCCAAAGGCCTCGCAAGTATGGCGTTTGTATTTACTGCATCCATGGCGTACATGGTCTTCGACGACAGGTCCAAACATTCTAAAGGAGCTGTACATGAGTAGTGGCATTTAACGTAAGCCTGTGATCATAGGGCTCCGGGCATGAATCCACACAAGAACAACTCATACAATGAATCTGCAGGTGGGAAGCTGAGGTCAAAACGTCTGGAAATTTCTGACTCCTGTGAATATCATTCATCTGCCACTCCTTTTCTGGTATCTTGAAAGACTAGTGATGTTTCGCGAGAATAATACAACTTGCTTCTATAATTCACCTCCCGGCTTCTGTCCATAAACAACATGAAACGTCAGATACGAGTGTATCGACGTATTCATTAAACTCTTCCTGACATCAATCAAGAAAATCTCAACCTCGCTCGCGCTCCACTTCAAGCCCCTGGTCAGGGGCGCCATACTGACGGCCTGCAACGCATCAATAAGCATACTGCGGTTGTACAGCCCAATAGTCTTCAGCTTCTGGTCCCTCGGCCACACCCCAATGGGCACCTTCCACACCTTTTCGGTCACATTTTGGAACCCGCAGTTTCTTAACAGTTCGGGGTTGCGCTCCATCATCAACGGATCGATACCGAAGCTTCGGAACCCGGACATGCAGAGATCCACAAATTTGCCATAACCGTACTGCTCCGGTCCAGGCATCGTCCCATCGTCACATTGAAGATGAAAGCGAAGTTCTTGCAGCTCAACCCAGCCGCCAGGCTTTAGAGACTTGTAGGCTTCTGAGAGGAGTCCAGGCCAGTTCTTGATGGCCATGCATATGTGCCGCGCGTGCACGAAGTCGAGTGAGTTCTCGGGCCAAACCCAGTCTGCCTCGGCGTCATCGATCATGAAGCGAACATTGGGGGGAACCCAATCTGGTTGGATCGGGGAGAGATCGATGCCAAGCACGTCTGCTTCCGGGTATTCATCGCCGACTTTGGGCATGTTAGCCTTGGCTCCTATGTTGGTTCAATGACCGAATAGGGGATGCGAAGTGGGGACGAAATCGCTTGGCCATGCGACGACATTCCATGGCGAGGATGAGCAAAGACATGCCAAGCATCGGATCGAGAGACCCAAGAATTAAGAAGAGACAACAAGATGCGCGCAAAAAAGGTAAGAGGGGGATGGAAAACCTACTGTCGATCGCCCAGATCCCCGTCCCCGTGCCGATATCAACAATCTTCTGCGGGTTCTCCAGCGGCGCGCTGTGCAGCTTGCCATCCATAACGTTGACGCACATCGCATGCTTCATGTCCTCGCGGTCCTGCTCGGGCTCGTCGTTCGGCAGGAGGTACCGCCCTTCCATGTACTTGTGATACCGCCGCGTGTTCTCGAAGACATAATCGCGCACGCTGGCCGACATCGACGTCGATGCTGAATGAGAACTTGCCGAGTCGAAGCCCTCGTCCCACGTCTCGTCCGCCCGTGATGATGCGCCGTCATCTGTGTCGGCCTCGACTGTGTTCTCGGCTTCGAAGGGGTGTTGCGGCGACTGTGCCCCAGGTCGCGATTCCTGCGGCTCAGAGGCTGGCGGTGCTGGCGTTGCGGGGGCTGCTGCTGTGTCCGCCATGGCTGCTTCAGCTGACACGGACCAGAATCCAGATATCCGTTGATGATATCTCGAATCTTCAATCGGGCTGGTGTCGTCTCAGTGGTGCAAGGTCGGGACCCGTGATCTCGGCCGTAACAGTCGTCAGATGTGGCCCTGAGGGCACGAGCGCTCGACCAGGGATCTGCCCTTGGAACTGATGAGGAACCCTGACGTTGGAGATCGGCGACAGCACGAACTATCGCTGAGGGGCAGCTCGGTGTATTAAATGGCCTCGAGAAACCTTAAAAGCCAATCGCGGGAGCCCGGATGCGCAGTCTCGGCGGACGAGATTCGGTCGAGTCAGCCAGATCGAAGTGACAATCGTTAGTTGCTCGGGGCGATTCAGCAAGAAGGAAGCAAAGAGAAAATTTGACAAGGGGCCAAAGAAGAAAAAGCCGTTGGACTGGTTTAAACTACGAAGCGGCTCCTACGTGGTGTCGTGTCAGCAATGCATCAGCCAACACCGGCCTCGAGTGCGCGAACAGAGTGAGCTACCTTCACTGACATCAAGTGTCGAGACACTAAAGGGGGAAAATCAAAGCCACCACCAAAAGATGCCACCCCTGCGCCCATCCTGCCTCAAAGAGAGCACAGCCTATCACGCCGCGCTACCTGACGTCTTAGCCGGCTCTGGTCGGAGCGGCGGCGCTGGCACCAACCTCCATTCCAGCTCGCTCAGCGGCGGATTTGTCTCTCCGCGAGGGGACGCTTGAGGAGGAGATGGCCAGGAGCAGGATAGCCGGGACGCCGCCGATGCGGTGCACCAAAAGAGGCCGGCCTGGAACCCATTTGCACGCGGTGGCGTTTTCGCCCGTGTCTCTGATCCGTCAAGTCATATTCATGCTCCCCCCCAATGCTGCCGCTTCCTTTGAGATACCTGCCCCTCCCCTCATTATTAACCCCTCCTCCAACTCCTATTTAGCCCGCTTCTTCCTGGTCATTTGCGTCTAGTCCGAGTTTTAGTCTGGTATGTTGCCATTGGCTGGACGGCGGTATCTCCTCTCTTTGAAGAGCAGTGAAGAGGGAAGAGGGGGAGGACTTTTAACATTCATTGGACGTGCGCGGCACGTTGTCGCCGGCACATGGGTGGCTACACACCGAGCTTCCGCATCAAGCTAATAGCGCTCCTGCAGCTGAACCTCGCTTCACTGCAACCGGGAAGAAGGGGACTATGGGTCTTGAATGGACGTGATGGATGGAGGCAAAGGCCCTGCTGGCTGTTTATCATTCCTTCGCTTCTCTTCTCCTCTTCCGCTGTTGACCTGTTGCGTGCCCCTCCTTGATTCCAACCAGCTTGGTATCGATTGGCACAAGCTTAAACCTTTCATCCCATTCTGCCCACATTCCGTGCCTCTCTATTGTCTTCCTCCGCGCGCCGTCCCGTGTGCCCGGTCACTGTACTTTTGGTACGGGTGTGACGTCTGCGCATGCAATCAGACCGTTTTGATCGGCAAACGTGCAGCAGCAATCACCGCATTCTCCAACACACATACGAGGACCAAAAGAAGGAGTTGTGTAACAAGCCACTTGCTCGATTTCCACCAGTCGATTCCCCACAAAATAGTCAGACTCCACCCTTTTAGGAAAGAGTCTACAGGCTTGTTCAATGTCGGGAGACGTCGGCGATCAGGTCCGGGCGGAGGCGACCGCCGCCGCGGACGAAGTCACCGTGGCCCTCCAGACATTCCTCAAGGAGCCCGGAACGACCGGGAGTGACCTCGACAAGGGCCAACGGCGGCGCATCGTCGACGCCGCGCACAAGCTGATCTCCGCTGTCAAGGACCCGGGCGATGAGTGGTTTGACGCGACGGCGCAGGTTGCGCAGATGGGTGCGAACAGACTGTTTTGGGAGTGGAAGGCCTACGACCACATCCCGCCGGAGGGGAGTATCTCATATGCAGAGCTCGCCAAGAAGGTTGAGGCCGAGGAGTCTTTGATACGTAAGCGAAGCGACCGTAGGGGAAGCTTGTGAGGCACAGTAGACTGACACTTGCCAGGGAGAATCGGAGGTGTGCTCACGTCGATGGGCATTTTGGAACAAGTGGGTGATGATGATGCTGTTGCTCACACAAAGCGCTCGCGCATTTACACCGACGGGCAACCCGCTGGCCAAATCGTTGGCATGGCGTACGTTCACCCTCTTCCTTGTGCATGTTACATACACTGACACTCGCCAGCTGGGAAAATGGAATGGTGCCGTACGTCCAAATGCCAGCATACTTTGAAAAGTACGGCCGCAAAGAACCGCAGACGCTCAACCATGTTCCAGGCACCTTCGCCTACGGCGTGCCAGAGTACGGCTGGTACGAAATGCTGCAGCACGACCCGCCACGCATGCAGCGCTTCCTGCGCGCCATGGGTCCCATCGAAGAGAAGATGCCCATCTCGGGCATCTACGACTTCACATGGGTTGTCGACTACGCCAAGGCGAACCCGACGGACCGGGCGGTGTTCGTCGACGTCGGGGCCGGGCGGGGCCAGTCCATCAAGGCGATCCACAAGGAGAACCCGGAGCTGCCGCTGGACCGGTGCGTCCTGCAGGACCGGCCGGAGGTGGTGGAGGCCGTGAAGCAGCTCGATGACGCCGACATGAGACTCGTCAGGAAGCAGGTCATAGATTTCCACAAGGAACAGCCCGAAAAAGGTACCCGATCCCCCCTCTGCACTCGCGATCGGGAGGTGTGAGACGTGCGATGCTGACTGCTGCAGGCGCTCTTACATACTGGATCAGGCGGTGTCTGCACAACTACGGTGACGAGCTCGCCGTCAACATGCTCCGCCTCATCGCGGACGCCATGGCCGCGGACAGCCGGCTGCTGATCCAGGAGGACGTGATGGGCAACCCGCCTCACTACACCTCCACGATGTTGGACTTCATGATGTTGACGTTCGGCGGCAAGCAGCGCACGCTCGAGTGCTGGACCGACGTCCTGGGCCGCGCGGGGCTGGAGATTCGCAGCGTGGCGAAGGGCCAGGGGCCGTGGAGGCATCTGGCTGTGATCGAGTGCGTCAAGGCTGGGCAGAAGTGAGACTCGTT